TTCAGAACACTGAATACATTGAAATGGCCCAAGCAGTCAAGGCCATCTTCTCTCTCTTTATTCATCTTCTCATCTTCTCATGCGCCTCTAAAGCGCTTCGTTCCACCCGCTTGAGCTCCTGAAGGCAAAAAGCCGGCGGTGTGAACGAGACCGGTTTGCGGCGCCATCACCAGGTGGGAATGCTTCGGGCATCGTTCAATATATTTGTAGAGAAGTCTTCACATGTGATTTCTGGTTGTTGGTTTCAAGTTTCAAACGCACTTGAATAATGTTAGTCAGTGGGTTGAATCATCCCAAGTAAGGGTTGAACAAACAAATCAGAAACCATTAACCTAATTAGGTTTTTGGTGCGTCTTTCCTGTAAGCTTAGGGTTGCGTCAATTTAACCAAGAAAGGACCCCCAATTGGGGTGGTGGGACACTGCGATACGGTCGACCGGCGTCGACCCGTGTCAACCCAACGCTCGTCCAAACGAAGCTTTGTCGGTCAGCTTTGAGACCAGCCGAATGGAGGACCGGACATCATGGAAGCGGTTCCGGCCTGGCCTAACCATGAAGAAAGGCCATGACATCCTTTCCAACACCAAAGGGATGGTCCACTTCCATGGGCAGGACGGAGGACGAGGGCCCTCCCAACCCACTTGGGTTGCGGAGTTGGAGATCGTCTGCAGCAAATCTCGTATGATTCCCTAGCAACACGTGGACACGGGGGGAGTTCAAATAGGGAGACCTCCCAGTTCGACCACCTCGAAGAGGAAAACTAGGCCACAAGCATCCAAACGCCATTGAATGGGCTCACGGGGGGGGGGGAGCAGCTGGCCTAATACAGGCCTTGACAAGAAACAAAGCCACAAAGCCACAAAGCCATTGGTTGGGGGTCCCGTCTTTCCCTCTTACGCACCCAGGGGTGCAGAATGGCGATCACCTACGCCCGCTCCTGAAAGCGCGCGCAACGAGACAAGTGTCACGAGTTCAGCTACAGAGTCGTCAGCCGTTTCAAGGGACCCTTTTGCCGCACCACGGTCGTGCGCCATCTGGCAGCGGACCCACCCGAAAGCACGGGACCATTGAAGTACCGGGCCCCCCCCCGCCCGGCCTGCATAGTTGGATAGATCAAAGAAAGGAAGTTGCATCGTTTGATCTGTCCAACTATGATCCTTGCATAGTTGCACAACATCCCTGTGGAAGGATCTGTACTATACTGCAACTACCATAGTTCTGTTGCATGATCCTCCCACAACAAAAAAACGCAAAAAAACGAGCTCGGGGCTGGTCATGAGATTATGATCCAGGAGTCGACCGAGTCGAGTCCGACCACGAATCGATCGGCGAATCAATCGATCGACGAGCAGCTACATGGCCTTTAGGTCTTGGACATTTGGGGGACGAGCCATAATGCCATAGACATGCTGCAGGTGTCCAAAGCCAAACCATGTATGGAAATACATGAAAATACCTACATTGGGGTCATTTACATGCGGTACATGTAGGTCGCCGTTCCATACATGGATGGTCTGGGTCTGCCGTGTAGATAAAAGCATGCACAGTGCAGTAACACTATTGCGCAACAAAAATGGCGCTCTAGCTACCACAAGCACGGGACGAGCGAGACAACAGTATACAAATGTATAAGGCGTCCCTGGTGGTCCAAGTGCCGTTGGCCTTAACCCAATGAACTACAGTGGTTTCAGAGTAAACCAAGATGTCCTAGACAAATGGGGGTCCATATAAACCACCTTTTGGGGTCTGTGCCATCTACGCTCAATCCACTATATTGGAACTAATGCTCCTCCCCCGTGCTCCTGACTGGAAAAAGCTCTTCTCCTTGATCATCTCGCGGCTTGGGCGTCCCTGCAGGCTAGGGCCCCCAGAAGCAGGGCTGCCCGTGATGGCCTCCACCTCCTCACGATCTGACCAAAGAGGTTGGATCAAAGTCCCCAGCTTTTTGCGATCGACACCTTCGAAGATGCATGATTTTTAGATATGTTCAGTAATCCGAATCACCTTGCAAAGTTTGGCACTAGCCCTTGAAGTGTCTCTTAATTTGGAAATGAGCTCCGAACCCATCCTGAATGAGTCCTTGCCGTCCTACTTGCCGTCCTCACTACGATCCAAGGCGACACAAACACACAAACACATCAAATTCTCCCACCCCAGCCCTGCTCATGGCAGGTGTCTTAAAAAGGTGTCCTTCTTTAAGATATAGAAGCTGCTCGTGGGGCTCATGGGTATCGGCATCATCTGGAAGTGTCTCCGGATCAACTCCTTAGGTCTCATTGACTCATGGCTGTGCATTTCAAAAGGGGGACCTCCCAGTTCAATTTGCTGGAAGGATCATGGATTTTCACCTAGACTCCCAAAAGGATCCTCAAAAGTTGTGGCTTTGGAGGAGCTTCCCAGAAGGTAAGAGCTCCAACCCCAAAAGGATCCCCAAAAAAGGGAGACCTCGGGGTCTCCTCAAATCTCTTCCATGTGGCGCCTCTCAAGCGGCGATCCCAGGAGCGACCATCACGAATCCGTGGACGTTACGGGTCGTCTGGACGGGACGCGTCGTCTGGACGCAAATGGACATGTCGTGTGCTTGAACTTGGTTCCACATTGAATAATAAGCTGTATCGAACATGTATCATGAAATCTTCACCATAACGCAACATTTTGCCCGCCCCTGCCCCTTTGTTGAGAGCCCTCCGCTGCAAGAAAAAGAAACCAATTTCTGCAGGTTTGCCGTCGTGCCCGGGGCCCGGCGTTTTTTTGGTGGGCTTTTACAATGTAGAACTGCAAAAACATCTTCATATATAGTACTGTATAAATATATATTATATATATATATTATGGGGAATCGGACATTTGATGGAGAGTCTACAATCGCGTGCTGCCCAGCATCTCGTATGGGCGCCTCCCAGTCTGCCGCTGGCACCTGATCCTTCTGAATCCCCTTCACGTCCTGTCAGAAATAAGTGACATCATTAGTGACATGCCATGCGTTCAGAATGCCATTTCCCTCAAAGCAAGACTTGCCCTTTCCTACGATGCCATTCCCTCTTGAGGGGCAATGGTCTGGTCCGTCGGGTCTGGCTTCAGGATGAATCAGCATGACTTGCCCCTTCTCATGTCCCAAACAGCTGAAGGTTCGGTCGGTTCCGAAAACAGGACCCGCCAGACCCTCACTTCGTCACTTCCAGATCCCCAGCTGCAGCAGTTTTACCCTGCTTTCTTAGAAAGAGTTGCAGATCGCAGGGGTTCATCCAAAACGAGAAAACAAACATCTGATGAATAGTACAATTAACACCCATACACGGAATATATGCCTACATTGACCCCCCAAACCACCCCAATGTAGGCATATTATATGGCATACATGGAGCGTCTGGGATAAATACATATATATATATAATATAATAGACTCCAAACATATCATATGTCATATAGCCTGTAGATTGCAGTATAATATCTCATATGCAGTGTAATTACATCTCTCATGTAATAATTACTGTAGATGTGCAAATTACGCACAGCCCTAGAGTCTAGAGCCCGAAGGGAGGCTCGATGTGACTTGTACTGATTGACGTATGATTTCAATTGGGCCTGTCGCTCCTTCCAAACATAAAGCATGGAATTGAGGAAACCGTCGTTTTCTTGGAGGAATAGTCTTCCAAGTGGTCAAGCTCGTCCACTTCCGTGCTTGAAAATGTCCAGCCGGGCAGACTGTGGCAAAGTCTGTCTGACTCTTTCTTGAGTGTTGATCTTCTTCAGCTTGGATTTGCTTAAACAACACCAAAACAAACAACAAACACATACGGACAATCAACATCAACCGATGCCGCAAACCCAATTCTTGGGCGCCCCTCCTGTGGTTCCACCGGCTTTGCTTCGTAGAGCTTCTTCAAGCGCTGGCCCAGTTCGTGTACCATCGAGCTACTGCCGCGCAGGGCGGCAGCGGCCGCGCGGGGCGCCGCGCGGCGGCACTTGGCGTGGAGCATGGGCGCCAGCATGGGGTCGCTACATCTCAGGTGGAGATGCTCCGCATTTTGGGGATGGGAAGGCGCAAAGGCGACCCCCAAAAAACGGATGTGTGGCTGAGTCGGTGTTGGTAAAACCAATTCTTGCAGCAAAGTCACGCAGATTCACACGAAAGCTCGACCTGGTAGCGCTTTAAACCCCTGTTGTGTGAAGGAATGAGGCTACAAAAGGCGAGGTGTCAGTGGAATCTTGGATGGCTGTGCAAACCGTGTCCAGAGTTCTGGCTGCATGGATGCCTAGCTGCACCTTGCTCCATGTTCTGCATGTTTTCTGTCACCAAGGCTGAGCAAGGCTGCAACTCTTGCATGCTGAATTTACATAACTGGTAACAATTGCCTTGCGACAAGCGTGTCGAGTCTGGTTATATAGCTAAAAGATTAGGCTGCTGCCAGAAGCTGCACAAAAAAACAAGTCCACCATCCTGGAATGTTCAGGATCACCGACTCCTGCCCTTCTTCAACCTATCTCTCACACCCCTTTCAGAGTACCAGTTTTGACGAGCCAAGTGCAAAGCCACATCCAAACACCCCCTGCCCCTGGCGCTGTGAAAGCTGAAGGGCTGTGGCCACGGCATTCCGAAAGTGAACTGTCAGTGAAGAACATTGAAGAACCCTCAGCTCACCTCCTTTTTTTGAGCGACTCTTTTGGGGCTCTTTGCCCTGCTGCACTCCGAGCTCTCAGCCTTGGGCCTTCACTCCCTGCACTCCGAGCTTTTTCAGGCCCAGGCTGTCTAGACTCCTGGACGAGCCGCTCGTCACCACGGACGAACCCGACCCGAGGGTCGGAGAACGCGCCGAACCCGAAGCCCGGGGTCGGCGCTGGCTGGGTCAAAGGGCTAATCTTATGTTAAGCAATGGCAGCCATGACCAACCACGATTTTGGCTCATTGTATCTATGGCGTGCCAAACATAATCCCCGGTAAAGCTGGCTAATCCGATGTTTTAGACGGCAACTTCGTTACCCGAGACCGAGCCCCCTAATCCCCGGTAGGTTGGACATCCCTGGAAGTCTGTTCTATGTTCCTTCCTGAAAGGAGATGGCTGTTGGGCCCTGCTGTCAGGCTGTGCAAGTATCGATCGATGGTCAAACATGTGGCGTAGGCTCTGCACTAGCAAACTACATTAACTAGTAGCATTTGCCCAAACATGCTGTTGATATCTTTTGATAGGGAAACCCTTTGATCAAAGCAAATGAAGTCATCACCAGAAAACATTGGCGCAACGCAGAGCTGTCACCGCTTTGTCTTGCTTTGCTAGCTTGCTAGCTATCATGTGGAGCACTTGATCGCTTCCTGTTTGCTGTTAAGTTCCAGTGTGTGGTGCTTTTTCGATTGGCTCGACAAGCGGTCCGAGTACATGAGGCCTATGGTGGGGCACTACAAGAAAGAACCCCACCAGGAGGTTCCACCAGAGTGAGAGAGAAACAACTAAGTGAGCGTGCGTCCCTTTGGAACACCTGGTGGACAAAGCCATCCCCTAGAACCTCTCGACCTTGGCCCAAAACATCAAGATCCAAAACCATCCAAATCCGTCCGTTTGCTAGATCATTTCGGCAGCTTTTCAAGGTCCCAAACACCGAGCCCCCCCGCCACCGGGGTCCAGCTGGACCTTATATATCCCTTCTAACTAGGACTTCAACCATCATTGATGCCATGGCTGCCACGAGGAATCCTTCTTTGACTAAGGATTGTACACACCAAAACCCAAGTCCAGCGACCTCTCAGGTCACCGAGTCTGCTCACCGACACGGTCGACCGAGCCCCACCGACCTCGGTGGACCGACCGTCCTTGCCAACCGCGGTGCCTCTCGTAGCCCCCGTCGGTCGTCTCCACGAAGTCGGCCACCTCGCAGTTGGCCAGATACCTCGCGTTCGGGCTGTTCGAGCGGCTTTCAGAGGCGGAAGGCCATGGGCTGAGATGAAAGAACGAGGACGGACTGAGGGACATGGTGGCAAGTGCCACAATCGCATCTGTAGAGTTCAAATATGTTCAAATGGTCTGCTTGGAAAACGTGATGGCCGCCCAAGAATCTAGAGGTTGAAAGCCTTCCGAGTCCAGTCCATGCGGAATGCAAGAAACCAAGTGTTTGCTTTCAATACGCTTCCGTCTCCACCTGCAGCAAAAGGGATCAACAAGGAACAATACCCAAAGAACCTGCCAGGACCCGCAGTCTGAGTCAAAAACGGATCTCAGCGTTGAATCAAAGACCCCCCTTGGGTATACTTCACCAAAGGCTTTCCAGCAGCACGGAGTCTGGGTGGTTTGTTGGACACCGCTGACTATGCATGTTCCATCCAACAACTGCCTTTTCCGGTGGTATTCCGGTGGTGCTGGTATTGCGGTGTTCATGGATCTTCCTCTGGTGCAGCTGGCTGGAAACCGACAACAACCAAACCCATGGCGGTCTCGCTCTTGCCTTTCACCTCGCCCTTGGGCAACTTCTTCAAACATCCTGCTGGACCCTTTGACGGCTTCTTGCAGACTTCAAGTTTTCACCAAAACAGCCCCCCAAACAAAATACAGTTATATACTACTTTACTTGTGCCCTAGCCTTCACAAAACCATTAAACATATCGTTGACCTGGTGACCTGCTGGTCCTGGTGTAGTGCAAGAATCCATCTTCAAACGATGGCTCTTTGGTGGAGACCTTTGCTAAACAGTTGTTCAAATCCTAGGGTTATGTCATTATGCAAAAAGATGGCTCTTTGGATTCTTTGGTTTCAGACCTGTTATAAAAACAGTTACTTAAACAGGTGTGAACAAAATCCTAGGGCTATGTAAACAAAAATGCGTTTGGGGTTCCAAGTTCAGGAACCCCCCCACCTCCCCCCACCCCCCGCCCACTTCGAGGACCGGGTGCCCTGAGGACCGGATCCGGCCTTCCCAGGAGCGCAGCGAAGAAGGCGCCGTGGCCGATGACCACGATCCGATGCCTCGGAGGGTGCCGGAGCTGGGATCTTTGGGAAGCTGGATGAGTTGGGATGGTTGGAGTTGGGATGGTTGGGGAGTTACGGAATGGTTGGGGAGTTGGTTGGGTGTTACGGCTTCAGAGTAGTAGGTGGCACTGGCAGATGTCGTTGAGATGAAGGAGTGCGAACGCCGTTCCCCCCCAAAAGGAGACCCACACGACACAGTGGTGTTTCAGAGGCCTCTCCTGGTGGCGTTCCTGGCGTCCAAAAGCATTTGGATGCGGGGTCCAGGTCGTCCTTCTTCCGCTGTGTGTCTTTGGAGGCACTTCCAGGGGATCTGGCCCCAACGACCTACGGGCCGACCACAGGTCCTACGCTCTACGATCGGGATCAAAACAAATGGACCAATGGAGGCTGTGTGCCAAACAAGCACCTCCAACTCTGGTGGGAAACGATGTTCCCCTTCTAACTACAGGTGGGCATGAATATTATGAGTCAAGAGTCTTGACATGTCTTGACGGCGTGCAACTCGGTGAGAACAACCACCAGAGAAGCATTACAACCCCACCAGAACCTTGTTGAGAAGGCATCCCGAATCATTTCCAAGGGATCGAAGAAAACAACCGAAAGTATCCAAAGAGGAGCAACAGCTGCAAGCATCATAGCATCCACTTTCTCCATGAGTGGTTCCCCCAGAAGCTCATTTCGAGCTTCAGATCCAACCCCTGCACTGTGCAGCGAATTATCCATCCGCACGGAAGTTGCCATCCTCATGACATGCGACATGCTCCTGGTTGAGCTGGAATCCCAGCAGCCCACAAGTTTGGACAAATACGCAGTTCTTGGTTCGAGTTATCCCAGGTGGTTCAAAGCCGAGATTTTGCACGGCGACTTTGGAAGGCCTCAAAGGGGCTCACCAAGTGATCCTGCCCCCCAAAGCCGTGGCCTTTTCTTCTCCCAGTTGGTCTTACCACAATTGAAAATCTGAACCCCAACCACTGCCAGGCCGGCCAAAGAACCAGCAAGGCTATGTGCCAACTCTCAGCTCGAGATTTCGAGATTGCTGGAGGCACTGAAGTCAGGCCAATCAAGGCTAGCCTTCCTGAAACACTCGTGCCAGATCCCCAGGAGACGTTCCGATTGGTCAGGGTGTTTAGAGAGGATGGTCGATGGTTTTCAAATGTGTTGGATCTTCATCATTGCTCACCTGCAAGACCTGCAAGAACGCCGCAAATCCAGAAGCTGGCTGGGTTTTGTTGACCATGGCTCCATTATATTGGTACGTCTTGAAGTCAAGAATCAAAAGAATAAGCATTAATAAGCTGTTTTTTAGGTTTGCCCGGGCAAGCCTACTCTGCATCCATCCCAAAATGGACGCACACAGTCAGTCATCTCTTAACCTTCAGAACGTTTGAAGGGTTCTACAGTATTCAACCTTAGTGCACGAGGGCAGCTAAGAAAGCTTCCTTGGAATCGTTTCACTGGGAATCGTTTCACCTGTAGTAACAAGAAGCTTTTAGTATGTCTTTGAAGCTCCTTAGTGACCAGAAACTCTTTAGAAGGAAGGTTTCTTTGGTTCTCTTATAATGGCAATTCTAGACCGGATTTGGCCTTCATGCAACTTCCAAGCTATCCGACCACATCTCAGGAATCTCCAGCGCTGTGGTGTCCAGGGAGCAATCCATGCCTCGGGTCCCGGCTAAACCACAGAGTCACCCATCCTCACAAACCTCCACTCCAAAGCCTTGGACCAATCTTGGGGACACGCACATCCAGTTGACCGATTCACAGTTTGTTCTTTTCACGAATCTTCTGGCCCCCCGAAGCAAAGATTTCTTCCAACAAACCATGCGTGCGTTCTGCCCGTCCTAGTCCACTAAAGGATGTGGGCATCATGTGGCTGTTGAACACTCTTGGAGAGCTACCAACCAAAGCATCCAACATGTTCCAACCACTTCCAAACATCTACTTCGCAGTCTTACTGGCCCACCACTTGGCCCACCATGTCCCACCCGGTCCAGGCCACCCATCTTCTGCGGCGTCGGCCATCGTTCGCCGACCTCGCCCTCCGCATTGGGGGCCACCTCGGGCACTGAAGCTCGATGGATCTGCTGACGGAAGAGGAGGAAGTCTTCGGCCTGCTTGGGGTCCAAGTCGATCACCACTTCCACCTGCAAGTCACTCCAGGCAGAGTGTGTTTGGTCGGTTTTTGTGCGCCATTTTTGGTCAGTGGTTCTTTTTGTGGTTGTCTTTGGGGGTAAGCTGGAGATAGGTTGAACGGCAACATAGAACAACCACAACAACCACAACGGCAACGCCACCAACGCAACCACATCAGAAACAACATACATGTCATGTCGACAAACATCACCAGGTCAGGTATTAGGGTCCATGCCGTGGTTTCTTGCCCCTACCTTGGCCGGCAGCATCTGGCAGCCATTGATCAGGACTCGGAGAATTCTCGTTCCGACCGGTGATGCCCAACCCTCTAAGAATCCGTCGGCTGGGTCTTGGAACAGCTTCTTGTAGATAGTTGATGAATAAAACACAATAACATCTCCCATATGGAGAGATAAACCATTCCGGTTAGTTAACAGTCTACAACATGGATATGGATCGGCAATCAGCTAACGGACATGACCCCCACTTTGCCTCTTGGTCTCTCTTCACCACCCCGGATGAGTCCTGGTCAAACAGGAACCCCCCAAAAAATACACCGTCCTCCCATGGCCTCCCCGTCCGTTCTCCAAGAATAACTACACCCACACCTGCTACTGGGAACGCCCTAACTAAAACAAGCTACACTCTGACTCGCTAACATGGAAGTGGACAATGATCCCTTGGAAGACGACTTTCCTTTACCGCTCTCCAGCCTCTGGACCGCCGCTCTCCAGCTGCTCCAGTGCCCTGAGGAACTCGGAGTCCTGGGACAAGAGCTGCGCTCCGATGAGCGGTCGACCAAATGGCAGGTCGGAGGAAAAGAGGGTCCCTCCAAAAGCTCTGAAAGTCTCTCTCTCTCTCTTTCTCTCGGCAGCGTCTGGCCAGCCATGCAGCCGGACGCTAAACAGGGACACGCTGTTCGGAAGGACGAGACATTGCCCTGTCAACCAGTCCACCTAAATGCTTGACACCTTGGTCATCGGTCATCCATCTGATGACTCGGGCGACCTGTCTCAAAGTGACACTGTCTCAAATGATCTCGTGGATCCTTCCGGTGTTGGGAATACAGCGGATTTGGCACCCACAAGTCTTCGAGTCTTCATAACCTGCGTCACATGGGGAGTGTAGCAAAATGGCCGTTGTGGCTGTCCTCAGGGGCCATCATTCCTTTGTTCCCTTCCCCTAGACTAAATAATCCTCCCATCAAATTCCCTACTCCACGAATTAAGCTTTCATCTGTAGGTGTCATAGATTTCGGATGATCCCGGAGGTCCCTATGCTTCAGCGCCGCCGAAAGCCTGCTGAACCATATCTTTTCCCCTTCCATGAACTACCCGAGAATGGCCACGGCTGCCCTTGGCTCCTCCCCATCACTCGGCTCTGCCACCTGCTCCGGCACCGGGCTGTTGCTGCACACGGGCACTGGCGCAGCGTCGGACGTTTCAGGAGGCGAGGGACGTGCAGCCAAGGACAAGGGAGCATAGTCCTCGGCAGCCTCCTTGGTCGCCATGTGGGAGGGAAGCTCGTTGGGAGGATGGTACCAAACCCGCAAGCTTACTAGCCTAGCGCCCATGTTTGACCCCGTCCATTGTAGGGCCCAAAAGCTTGAGTCATGACACTGGAGTCACCCGCGAGCTCTTGGAAGCTTGGCACCATCTTTACCTTGCCAACCCCAAATCTCAAGGTCTGCTCTACACCTGCAAACTGCCCGGCCGGATGTCTCCCGGCAAATCCATTCGAGAGCTCCCAAGAACAGCAGCCCGTAGCTCCCCGAAGGGCAATTGATGCATACTAATATATTAATAGATCTACATGTAGAGTCCCACAGGTTTTTTACTCTATTCCTTTTGGTCCCCGCGAAAAGTGGCGCTGTTTCACCTCACCAAGTTCGCTATGCCGCCGCAAACGCCGAGCGGTTCCAAGTCTCGAAGCTCTGTCCCGCTCCCCAGGGACATGCGCCACTCGCCTCCCAGAGCGCGTAGAACTCGCTCAAGAGCCGTGCCGTGTCCGTGCGCGTGGGGCTCAAGATGAGGTCCTCGGAGTGGACGAGGCCCGACGAGGCCCGACGAGGCTTGGGAGGCTCTGGAGGCCCTAGGGCGAAAGAGTCGTACCTTCTGAGACTGGGGTGGGTGCCAGGAGGGTCCAAACACCTTCTGAGGAGGTACTTAGTACTTGGAGCCCTATATATTTTATATATACTTAAAGCATGAAGAAACCCAGAAACCAACTGAGGTATAGCGCGCGCAGGTTTGTTTGT